TGGAAGTTAGCATTTTAGTGCCCCTCAGGTGGCATCTAATTCCAATGTAGCACAAAGACGTTACCGAGGCAGACTGATACCATACGGTCTCTTGGAACTAAATTAATATTTAAAAATCAGACTTCCTGAATAGTTTCTTAACAGGAATAATTTAAATATTCAGGAAGTTAGTTTGACGAGGTGAATGTCCTTTTCCAGACTGGATTTCAATTCAGAACAAATAAAATCAATACTAGAAACATCGCAAAGCAGAACCCCTACACTCTACAGCAGCACAATTAAGCAATACCAGAGCATTTACCTTTCATTATAACACCCAGGCAACTGCCCGTGCAAAGAGGGTCCCTTCCTGCAAATCACACGGTGCAAGCGTAACAGGTAATCGGCGCATTGCACTGGCCACGTTTCCGCCTACGCCGACATTTATCCATGTCCCGCTGCCGTGACAGTGGGTCAGTGCTGGGTCTTACACAGCGACCATGGACTGCAAACGCCATTTATGCCTACAAAATGAAATAAGCCCTTTCAAGCCGGCAGCGCTGCACTCCTGTCCCACAAAGGACCATTTTCCTCGGGGAAAATAGTCTCGTTCAAAGTGGCAGACAACTGTTACAGAGTTGGTTGCTGCCTCCTGGCCCAGAGCAGAGACAGACGGCACTGAAAATCGCTGTCTGGTATCAGAGAGTATGAAGTGTGGCATCATTTATTCTGAAGTTATCTAGCAAAGAGACTGTGGAAAACCTCTGAGCTGTGTATGTAAAACTGTGCAAGTGGGAGGTCGCACATCATTTTGTTAGGCACATACAACAAACCAGTAGCTGCTACCAGAACCTCTTCTAGAAAGCCTAAAAAATACTCCTGGATAATTCTGTTATAAAACGTGCCGTTGCTTTTGCAGGCAGCACTAAACTCCGCTTCTGGGAAACAAATAATCCAGCCTGGGTGCCTGCCAGCGACAGAACATCTCATCACCTCTTAGGTTTCTGACAACTATGCAATGTCCTAGAGCATTCATCTTCTAAAATATTAATCTTCCAAAAGCTTCAGTTTTCAGACACATTCGCAGATATCCCTGACACTTACCAATGGCGTGCAGGCTGGAAATCGCATTGCACATCGTGTAAGCGCTGGGAATGAAGACTCTACCAGACATTCTTCATGTCTCCCGGGCACTGTTCACATCCAAACATGTTCCTGTCACTTACGCATTTTCCTTGTTTGTGTATTTAACCAAATTTGCAGTTTTGGTTTGACTTTCCTAATGCCTTACCTCGTCGTCTGTGCTATGATTTCGGCAAATGCAATTTCAGGGCATGACTGACTGGACAAAGAAGCCGATTAAAAGGAGCATCCATTTTCCTGTTGCTTTCACTCTGAACTGAGCCAATATGTCAAAACAGGTTTCTGTTACAAAGCCGTATGAAAATAATTGAATAAAGCTTTTCTTTTTCTGAATCCCAGGCTTTGTCTAGACAATGAAACAGCAAGATTTCTGGACCCAATTAGTATAGTTTAGCAGCAAAGGGTGGTTTAAAGTAAGATGTTATGAATTGCCTGCGGTGCTGAGGGTCCTTCTGGGTTTTGCTCTCTTCACCTCAGCCTGACGCAGCACAGAGCTGTGGTTTTCCAACCGAGAGAGCCTGGCGTCTCTGCCAGCACCGAGGTAGGTCACGGATTACAGCATCTGCTCCCGCAGCCATATGATGGCTCAACTGTGGTGGCTTTGGTCACGTTAAGGATCAGTAACTTCCATGTTTCCTCCCTCACCTTCAGGCCTGCAGGGGTTGTTGCAAGTGTGTACAGGGCACAGCAGGTCCCGTGAACGGTCTTTCAAAAGCCATGGTCTGCAGAGCGTTTGACCCAGGGCTTTCGGAGATAGATCTGCAGAAAATGGAAGTGAACTCACAGCTGGCCCTGTACCGGGGAGTGTCAGAAATACCCGAAGCTTTTTAGAGCCACCAGCAGCATTTCTGTTGCTTTCTTCCAGCCCAAGCTTGGCTGATAAAGCTGCAGTCCGGCTGCAAGTTTCCCCACCCGAGGTGGATGCTCAAGCTCCTCATGTCCTACTCTCAGAGCTGTTCCCTGGCCAAAGGTCCTTCCTCCCTGAGCCGAGTCCAGCGCACAATACAATTAAAGCCGCTGCTGCCCACGCTACTTTGTATTATTTTTCCAAATGACAAAATGCACCTTATTCACCCTTCCAGGCCCACATCTTTTGTTTGCATCTCTCACTCTTTGCTGAGGCCTGGGATCGGTGACTCAGCACCACAATGTTTGGCCTTGAACAATCCTGCCCATAATAAAAACAGCAGTGAAACCAGCCAAACCCAGAAACTCTGCTCTCAGATAGCCCCTTTCCCTGCCATAGCTCCAAAACCGTTGGAGAGGCAGGTTTTGGCTGTAGTCCCCATGCAAGTGTAAGTTTTCTGAGGAATTTAGAGCCTGCCTTTGTAAAAAATTACTCCAACTGGTGAAGTCAAAAGACCAATAGCACACGCTACATAGCTGGCTGGGCTCCAAGATGATAACCTCGTCAACGCACAACCAGCAAACGAACAAAATGTGTGGGTGTGTATAAATGAAAGCAAGTCCCTGCTGACTTGTATGATGAAATGTTGACCAAAGGGTGGTTGCTCCTGGATTATCGCCCAAGTAACAGAGCAGGGACCTGGGCAGACAGTTCAGAAGAAGGTTCCTGGGTAATGCCAACCCCCTGACCATCTTCAAAGTCATTCAAGAGAGGTTTTAGCTTCACCACTGAAACATCAAGAAGTACAATCCCTTTTCTAAGTGCTTGCTTACATTCTGCTTTCTGTAGCAAGGACTAATATACCACTTTAGCTCCGCTTTCAGCTAAACATATCAGAGGTTTTTGCCCATATTCTCCTCGGAATTTGAAAAGATTTGAGCAAGCCAAAGGAAAAAATTCTGAAGAACACTATTAGCTGTTGAATTCATATTGCAAATCATGAAAAGCCCTCCTGGATGGCATACAGCAAGTGAAAGGCTTATAAGCTGTTTAATGAGGTGTCAGTGGAAGACTTTCAAGAAGAGCCTGGAGCAGCTTTGCAATGCACATGAGAAGATATGTACACGTGTAGTTTTGCAGTTTCTGGGTAAGGCAGTAAGTGGGATTACCTGCAGGTAAGTCCATCATGAGGAGAAGGAGATATTACATGTAGTACTACACATATTAATTTCTAAAGAACAGTATTTGGGTAATACCATCTCAGAGAAGACCTGCTTTAAAGAGTTGCAGGTGGTTAGGTGATGGGTTAACTGAAGGCTGCCTGCAGAAATTAAAGAAGCAAGCAAAGAGTCCGGGCTGAGCTGGTGGAAAGGATCCTAAACTGATAAATGTTGCCCTGTGTACAGAGGAGCCTGGCACAGCTGCAGCTCCAGTAACTATGGGAGCTGGAAAACCACTGACATCCCAGTGCTGCACGCACAGGGGGCAGTTTTTCCTTTATGTTTCTCATCAGGAGCTTTCTGAATCCTGAAAACAGGTTTTAATGCCTGAAACACTTTTTGCTTCCAGCAGAGCAGGCATGAGACGGTGCCAAGCACTCTTTGGAATCTCAGCCTCATCGTGTTGCTTAGGTTTATGTCACTTACTGCAAAGCTGAGAGCCAGCAAAAGCACTATGCTCTGAGCAGAGATGGGAGTCAGGGTGTCCCCTTTCCTACGAGGACCAGATACACCTTCTTGCATGTGTGAGGCAAATAAATCTCTGCAGCACACGCTGAGAAAGGGGATGTAGCAGTCCGAAGGGAGAAAGCCCCTCGTTCAGCCCCTCAGCATCACAGAGCGTGGAGGCTGGGAACTGAGGCTCCTCTGGATGTTTCTACACTAGAAAGTAGCTGGAGAAGGATTTCTGGAGCTCTGGATGAGACCGCGGGTGCCAGCTTCCCACTGAAGCCTTATTAGAAGTCCCAGCTCAAGTCTGGCCTTCACAAATGCCTCTCTCCTGACATTATTCACTGGCGACCCTTCAGGCACCAACAGGATGTGTTGCTGTAATTTCAATAAATTAAATCATACCAAATCTACTAAATATGGCTGGTTGAGTCATATTACACAGGGCAGTCACCATTAAGTAAAATGTATTAAAAATGCGAATAAGCCTCTAAGTAGTTGCAGAGAGCAAGACTACCTTGCTAAAATTGAGTTGAATACATTTTGTTTCTTTCTTGCTGTGAGAACTCGCATGAAGCCAGGGAGGGTCCTGGAAACGCAAGGATTGCAGGACTGGTAAACCTGGTAAAGTAGCTAGCCTTGCATTTCAGCCTGTAAACCCTGATATCGCAGCATGTTCATTTCAGAGATTATTTCAAAACAAACAGACAGGGTGGCGGAAAAAAAAGTTTCAAGTACCACTTTGCCGCATTTGATTTGATGTCAAATTGGTTGTTTAGTTTTCGCCTGCAAGAGACTCCACCTCCTTTCAAAGTCCCCTTAAACCCTGTAGAGAATTTATCCCGGCACAGCTCCTGCCTCGTACTGAACAGTTACACAGGCAGAGAGAACCAAATGACCTCAGTCTCACTGCAGAGGATTCGGATACCCGGTGCCTTGGAGAAAACCACTGCCTTGAAAAAGGAGTTCCACTTGGATTAAAGTGTTTTCTGGCTTGATACTTCCATTTATATTTTCTTGGCCCTAAAAATAATCTAAAGGAAGACATCGCCTGTAACTGACCTGGAAAACACCTTTTTCCCACCCATTTTTTTTATTTTCTTCCTTTTTTCTTTCTTTTTTAGAGTGAAAGGAAACTCAAGGGGGACAAGTTGTTCTTTAGGTTTTGCTCTTCAAGCATAGCTTAAAATGCTAGGCAAGGAGGAGTCCCTCGGTATCGCTCATCTTCTCCTGGAACTGCATTGCATCACTTGGAAAACAGGACGAGAGGACATGAGACATCGCATCCCGATGTCTTTTTAACAGCACTTAGTCATATGCATGGAGATTCACAGCACCAGCATCTACTGCAAGAAAATGGGCAGATGCCAGAAGATTTTATTTTACACTTAGACGAAGAAAAAACCATGAGCACATTTTCGTTTTTAAATGCTAGCAACATTTCGCAGGCTGACTCCCTCGAGGACAGCGGCAATTGGACGGGGGTAACCCAGTTTACCCAGCCAGGATGGCAAATTGCTTTGTGGGCTGTCACCTATTCCTTCATCGTTATCACATCCATCGCTGGCAACATCACCATCATCTGGATTATTCTTGCACACAGGAGAATGAGGACTGCTACCAATTACTTCATCGTTAATTTGGCTCTTTCGGATTTGCTGATGTCCGCTTTCAATACCATCTTCAATTTTATTTACGCTAGTCACAACGTCTGGTACTTTGGCGAGGAATTCTGCAGGTTTCAGAACTGGTTCCCCATCACCGCAATGTTTGTGAGCATTTACTCCATGACAGCCGTGGCTGCAGAAAGGTAAGGTGCAAATGGAGAAGATAAGGTCCGAAAAATCTGCTGTAAATTACAAAAAATTATTGCAATACTTTGTGCAATTGGCCACCCAGCTACTATGTCAGGTGCCTTATCAGCAAAGTGGGAGGAGTGCCAGGCAAATAGACAGCGGGCTTAGATGCTGGTTATGGCACAAAAGAAAGGCTCTTCCATCTTATCCCTGGTCTGAATCGCACCCAGGTCTGTAACGAGAGGAAGTGGCTGGTATTTTATTGTTCCCATGTTATTGACGATAAATTGTTTCCCAGTCATCCTGCAAACTCTTTTTTTTTAAACCACAACAAGGACCCATCATTTGGACAGAGCTGGAGCGATAAATATGCCATGGGATGCTGAAAGTGTTGGTATCCACAATCCTGCTTGCGAGTCCAGCAAACCACCAGAAATAATGGGAATTGAATCAGAAGTGGCACTCTGCTCCAATAGTTCACAAGAATGACTTATTCCAAGAGGGAGGAAATTAATTACAGTGATTTTGTTTGACTTCTGAGGTAATTTGGTATTTTCACAATACTCTCCTCCGTCTGCCAAGTCTCTCCTACTTAAGCTTAAATTTGTGGAGTCTGAATGTGTTTACAGCTCATTGTTAAGTAGCGTGACGCTGTTTTGCTTTTTACTAGAAAGCGGCCAAAAGTCCATGGGAATTTCCCCTCTTAAAGGCAACGGCATGTAAAAAAGTAGAGGAGGTTAAGCTTCCTTCTAGGCTCTCTGCCCTCCTTCTCTCCATCCTTCCCATCTTCCCTCCGTTACTTCCACTCTCTGCCTGGTGCTGGGAACATCTCTATCTTTTCAATCCTATGTCCCTGCCGCGACCCCATGGCGAAGGTCTTCCCTCGGGGGCAGCTGGACCCGGCATCCAGAAATACCTGCCCTCCTGTTGACTTCGCAGGTTCCTTCGGGTTTTGTCCACTCCTTATCAGGCGCGCGTATCCACAAAGGGCCCTTCCAGCTCCCTTGGGAGCAGAGCCAGCGTCCCTCTGGAGCCACCTGAAAAGCATTGCTCCGTGAGTCATCGCGGTCGCTTTTGTAACTCCCGCCCCTGCTCCCAGCTCCGCTCACCCTGGCACTGGCACACCCAGCCTCGGGAAGCAACAGACAGACAAATCAAACCAGATAAACTAGCAGGACAAAGAAGGCTTTGCCCTGTGTACATGTAACACCCACTGAAACCCGCACCGGAGCTGGGGATATGGCCCGGACTGGCATGCAGCTGCCACAGTACAGGGCAGTGGTCCCTGCGGTTGCTGGAAGGATGACTGTAAGAACAGGGATGAGCAACGTGTTTATCAGCCTGCAGGTATCCAGATGAAAGCGAATCCCTAGTTAGAAGCAATGGCTGCGCAGTTTTAGACTCAAATACTCTTTTGCCGTTCCTGGGTTTAAATCAAGGGTTGTTGGTAACTGCTATTTTGTACATGTGGTCTGCCAAAGAATACTTAAAAAAAAAAAAAAAAAATCCCTTTCAACCTGTCCTCATGTCTCCCTCCTCTCACCCCTTGGGGACTTTTGGTGAAAGTACCCGCACAGCCAAAATCTCTTCAGTCACGTGGCATGGATCAGAAAGAAAACTTGGCACCTCACAGCAAACCATATTTAGCTATTCTTTGCTTAGCCTTAAAATAGATCCTGACACTGCCTCCTGGAAACTCACAGCTTCCATTTATTGTTATGAGAACTTGCGTCCACTTGGGCTCCGTTGTTTAACTTTGATAAAACAATGTCTTTTGAAGTGGTTTATTGTAAGGAAGGAGGCTAAGAAGAGACAGCTCTAGAAGTCATCTTTGTCTGCGCTGGAAAAGGCCCTGGCAATACTGCTCACGGTTGGGTTTAGGACCACTCTGTTTCCCAGTTACAAGCTGCTCTGGGGAGCAGAGCAGCCGTTTCCACTGCACGTTTTCTGCAGCACTCCAGGCAGAAGTAAAGTATATCAGCTGAAGTTTCACACTGCAGTTCGCAAAGTCCCCTAGGCCCTCTTCAGAAAAAGTGCAAGAGTGTCCAGATACAGCTTGTTTTTTCTACGCGGGACGACAGCCAGAGGAAGGGGACCAGGAGCGTGGTCCCAGCATCCTGGGATCTCACAGGGAGCAGGCAGCAGGAGTGCAAAGGCAGCCCTGCCACACAGCTAGAGTGTCCAGGAGACCTGAGCACATTCGGTAAATCTCCCAACTTGCAGGAGCTTGCCTAAAAGCGTGGCTTGCCTTGGGGGTGCACCCCTGGGCTGAGTAGGAAAGCCTCCACCCAGCAGCCCTGTAATACCTTCAGTATCTGCAACACAGGCTGCTGCGGCAGCACAGTGGGTGGCATCATTTCTACCTGGGACTTGCCGTTCACTGAGAGCCACAGATTGTCAATTTAGGCACTCCTGTGGACAAATATTCTGGAGAATATTCACGTCTTGATTCCTCCCTGACCAGGTTCGAGCATTGTGTAATACTGCCTATGATGAGCTCAAGAAAAGCAAGGTGACATGAAAATTTTATAGCTAAATAAGTTGCTGCTGCTGTGCAGCTCTGGCTTACTTACTGTGCCATCTGTCCATGCAGCCGCCCTCTGTCCTGCAGCAGCAGCCAGGCAGAGCTCCCTCCCAACAACCTGGCCAGGAGACAGCACAGAGTTTGTCAGATTTTTTGCTATGAAAACCAGGAGGCAATTGGCATTTTCCACTCTATTTTGCTTTTGTAACAACCATGACAAGCAGTACGGAGAGCATGACAAGAAATGCATAATTGATTATGTACTCATTACGATACCGTGCATTTCTACATGGGGAACTTAAAACCAGAGAGTGCTCCAGGCTTGCAAGTAATCTAATAGTCAGACGTGCCACGAGGGCTCTGAGCAGGTGTGGGACGAAAGGGTCAGCCTTCGCCTTCCACCGCAAGCACAAGTGCTCGAACATTTAGAGGCAGAGGTGGATGGCACATAGGTTTTCCATGGCTAAAAATCAGTGGGCAAAAATTCAGGGTGAAGGATATTTGAGACTCCTATCTGCTGTTGTGATAATGCAAGACATCAGAGGAGACTGATGTAATTATGGGGTAACAGAGCTTTTGGGGAGTTTTTTGGTAGAGGAAGTAGAAAAGGGCATGGTATTAAACAGTGCATAACTTGAAACTAACACATACACTTCACAGCAGCAAATTTCAGACCAAATACATAAAGTATTTGTAAAATTAATTAAAAAAAAAGGAAAATAAAAGAAAAATGCAAAGTAAGAGGAACACTTGCGAAGATCACATGCAGAAGACATAGATGACTGCTTCCTCCTCATACCAGAAGCATCTAGATGATCTTTAAGGTCCCTTCCAACCCAAACCATTCTATGATTCTATGAGTCATCCACATGGGTTTAATATATTCTGCCCTAAGATTTGCAATCCTTCTCTTCAGTAAGGATTTAGCTCCTAATTATTTATAGCCTGGAACCTATCAAAATGCCTCTGTAAATAAAGCCAAAGCCCACGATACCACCCTGATGAGTTTTTACACTTGCTATATTTGTTGTACAGTTTACTAATGCATTACCTATTCTTCTTGTAGGTACGTGGCAATAATACATCCCTTCAGGCCCAGGCTCTCTGCTGGAAACACAAGAGTCATCATAGGGGTCATCTGGCTGGTGGCATTTGGGCTGGCCTTCCCACAGTGCTTCTATGCCGAGATCATGACAGACAATGGAACGACGAAATGCATCGTCGTCTGGCCCGATGACGTCGGATCCAAGCACCAGCTCACGTAAGAGAAACAAAAAACTCCTGATTCGTGCACAAGTTGACTATGAAATTAATTTCATCTCAAACTGTTGGACTACAGGCAGTACTGGGGGAGGGGGCAGGGGGGAACCACGCAGCAGGGGAATACGCATCTGGGGCAGCCCATTTAAGCTCAGTTTAAGCCAGCTGTGGAAAAAGCTACCAAGTGATCACGACTCAGGGTAAAGAAAGGTTATGCACCATCCTCCCCTGCTTTGAAAAGTGGTTATAAGATCTAGAAACACTAGAAACTGGTTTGGTGGGTTTAAGAGAAACTAGCATGAAAAGTCTCTAAACAAGCAATAAATCCTGGTTCCAAAGATTTTGGATTTTCTCCCTCCCTCAGGCAGGAAGAATTTGGGCATCTTTAATGCTGAGAAGCCACATAATTAGCTAAAATTTTAATTACGCTGCTCTTTCGGGGAGAGGGGGCGGGGACAAGAGCACGTTTCCAACATCCTAAGGTTTTATCCACTGACTTATCTGGGCACACACCTGCACTCCCAAAAGCTCCTAACCCTCACAGCAATTTCCTCCGGCTTTAAAGCAAGATTGTTCAGACAGATGAAACAAGCCATATGCCCCATTTAGAGGATCTGCTGTGATTAATCATTATTCAGAGCACATGATACACAGAGCAGTTTGATAAATTTATGAAGCAAAACTTATTTATACAAAGTAGTAATGGAAGAACTGTGGAAAGGAAACAAATCAATTAACAAAACTGAAACAATTTTCAAAGCAAAACCAAGCGCTGAACTCCCTGCGTCCATTCTTCGCTGTGAACACTTTTGCCCAACTCCATGCACCAGGCACATTTTTCCCTTCTTGGTCTTCATCTCCGGCAGACAGCTGGCTGCCTCCTGCAGTTAGTTCTTACCAAACTAACCGGTTTTCACACTAATGTGTGCCAAGTTCTAGAAGCTTTGTGTAAGTTTGGCTGAGCTGCAGCACATTCAGCCACCAGTGGTCAGTTGTTCCCAGTCTCCAGAGACACAGAAGAACAGAAGAGTCAAATCAGGCTCACATCATGTTGGGTCCAAACATGAGGAAGAACTTATTCCCTCTCAGGGTGACGGAGCCCTGGAACAGGCTGCCCAGGGAGATGGTGGAGTCTCCTTCTCTGGAGATATTCAAGCCCCGCCTGGACAAGGTCCTCTCCAACCTGCTGTAGGTGACCCTGCTTCGGCAGGAGGGTTGGACTACATGACCCACAGAGGTCCCTTCCAACCCTGACCATTCTATGTTTCTGTGGGTGACATGCCTCCCAGGGCTCTCGAGTTGGTACCCCCTGGCACATACTGGGGAACACAGTATGCCAGGCTCCTGTCGACTGAGAAGGAGGGATAGCAGATAATCACTTCTATATAGAGTCACTGATGATTATCTCGTTCAGATGAAAATTGTGAAGTTTATTTCTGCCACATCCACAGTTTGGGAAGGATTGAAACAAGAGTTTACCAGCATGCCGACAAAATCTCTGCGGGCTGGAATAGTTGGTCCTGAGCACAGCAGATAACAGGGCAGGTTCTTTCTGGGATCCCCAGCTGAAGAGCCGCAGGTCCTGAACACAATAAATCACTTCATTCACCAGCTCGCCCTCCCCAGACAGCCTCAGATTTGCAGGTTTCAGTAGCTCTCCTAAAAAGGAAGTTGGAAGCAGCGCTCCCCAGAAATCATCTGGAGTGACGGATCTGTCGGGACAAACGCCTGCAATACAAACCACGGAGAAAAAGCTGCGTGCAGCCATTCATGTGCTAGTCCAAATACCGAGGAAAAGAAACACTATGAAACCCAAAGGAAAAACAAAGAAATTGAGAACCAGGTTCCTCTGTTGACTGTGGGTCCTCCAAATCCTTCTTAGTTGAGTAAAACCAGCTTTCAATATTTCTAGACTTCGGAACAAAGGAAAATCCTTTTCTGCATGAAAAATGTGTATAATTATGATAGAAACAAGTCCAAAAAAACCCCCAAACAATTCACTACTGTGACTGCTAGTGCCTGAAAAATCTTACATATGAAGGGACAGAATTTGTAGAAGTTTAACCAAAATAAGGAACCTTAACCACAGAGGATTTTTTTTTTTCTAGTGACAGGTTAACTTTGCAGCAAAGTAGCAGAACTACAAGACTAAAAGTTTCTTTTTGCCACACACTTAAGGGTAGGCTCCCATCCTCTCCTCTTCCTCTTAGGGTGAGAACACTTTTAAAAGGGCTTTGCCGCGCTCCACACATGGTATTAGATCTTCAAAAGAGGTACCACTCTGAGGACAATTGGGAAAGGTGGAAAACAGGCAGGGACAAACCTGCCACATTTCACAGATATAATATTTTTCTGTACACAGCCACTGTTCTGGTATTTGCAACCACACCAAGAAGCAAACACCACCAAGTGCCCCAACGCCAGTTTCCACAGTGCTGTGCAAAGCAGCTGACCCCGCTCGCCAATGCGGCGAGGAACTCCAGGCCGTTGTCAAACTGAGAAAGACCATTTGCACCCAGCCTTTTGCGGTCATTGCCGGCAGCGTGTGCCAGAGCCCGCCTGCCTAATCCTAGCTTTTACACTGTTTATGTTAATTTGACAGCTGCTCTAACCGAGTGAGCAGGTTGTTCTCTCCCCATAAATGGTGCTTGCTTAAAATAATCAAACCCCAGCGTGAGGGAACCAGCAGAAGCTCGCGGGGTAACACGGAAAGCTAGGAATCGCCGAGTTAAAATACAACCAAAGGAGATGCCGGTGCTTTTGGCTGGAGCAGTAACTGAGTAGCCTGTTGGTGATATATAATGGTGTGTGCACACACATATAAAACCAGTCAGGAACACAAATACAGCAGTGACTGCCACTCACTTTCTGCATACTATAAGCAGGCAATATTCCTTCCTTGCTCTCTGCGGAGTCTTCCCTGTGCACACTATTAGCAGCCAGCTACATTTTTAAGTCCCTGGTTCAGGTTTTTCTTCACTGTTGCTGAATTAAGCTGTTGGCACTACTGCATTCTTCAAGCTACTTTGCAGTTTTCAAAATATTGCTTTTCCACATCTGTGATTTAAAGGTTCAAGTTTTTACAGCCACAAGTCTTAGATGTCTCTCTTTCCTGACTGCAGTGGGACAGCAAAGTTCAGGGCAGGTGGCCATGGACTGTAATCCTCTGATAAAAGACAAATGATACTACTCCATCCTGAAAGAGCAGTGAATCCAGTCCAAGGACGTATTGTCACAACACAAGAGATGAGCTTTTGCTGTTTACAGAAGTCCCTGTAATGATGTTTGTAGGCAAAATTTCTGCTTCTTTATGCTTTGGGGTTGAAGTTCATTGGAGCCAGATGTACATGTCCAAAAGACATTTTCTGAAAGAGCCCTTCAAGAGACATACTGACTATGAAAACATGCTTGTTCTTCTTTTTCAGGTACCACATCGCAGTGATCGTGTTGATTTATTTACTGCCTTTAATGGTGATGTTTGTCACATACAGCATTATAGGAATTACTCTGTGGAGCAGTGCGGTTCCAGGCAACCACCTTAACAGAGTCCGCTACGAACACCAAGTTAATGCCAAAAAAAAGGTCAGAAGTGAAACTTAAAAATAATTATCCTCAGCGCACCAGGCCTGCTGGCTCCAATTCCACAACGGAGCTTGCATTTGATACAAAATCTTGTGGGATCGGGCATGAAAGGTTGACAAAATATTTTGGGCAGGGGGTAAAGGGCATCACCCAGCAAGTGTGACAAAAATGGTGATCTACATGCACCAGCCAGCCTCCAAGGAAGAAAGACTCATGCCGGTAGGCAGTGGGCCAGTTCCCAGCAGTCCTCAGAGAGTAAAGCCTGACGTCCAACGAATTCACATGTCACAGGATAAAACAGGGGAAAAACTCTGGACGGGGTGGAGAGGTTTCAGGGTAACAGCAGCTATCGCGTTTCCCTACCACATCTCTCTGATGTAGCTGCAAGCAGTTCCTCTGCAGAAAGTCCACTCGGTACACTGGGAAGCATTTGCTCTCTCTCCCTGTTTCCAGTTTCCATCATCAGGGCTGGTTTCTTTGCCATAGCAGCCTGGGTCTACACACCATACATAGCGCTTCAGGAGGGCAAACCAGACCCAAAACAAAAGCAGCATTTCCCACTCCCCCAACAAGTTCAGAGGATCATCCAGAGGCCCAGGATTAACACACTGGTTTTGTTTGTCTAGTTTGTGAAGACCATGGTGGTAGTTGTGATCATTTTTGCTGTCTGCTGGCTGCCCTATCACATATACTTCATACTGGGGAGCTTCAAGGAAGACATCTACCAGCAGAAGTACATTCAGCAGGTTTATCTTGCAATCTTTCTGCTTGCCATGAGTTCAACGATGTACAACCCCATCATATACTGCTGTCTTAACCAAAGGTGAGTAGTGTGCACACGTGTGCACAGACAAAACAAAAAAAATCTCAGTCTGACAAGGCATAAATCTCTGGAGGTGAGATTGCCTGTGATTTTCAACTACGGTCAATAGGCTGGGTAGACAAATTAGTTTATACTCTGCTAATAAGGTGAGATTAGCCACACTCTGCAAATGAGATTTTAACTCAACCCTTAAGATTTTTCTGCCTCCAAATCAAGTGCAAGCAGCAGGCGTATGATCAGCACAGCCACATCTGCACCAGTTTCCCCATGCAGGCTACCTTATCTCCAAGGAAGGAGGGAGGACTCTTGTAATCCCTGCAACGCATCTGCTGACCTAATGCCAGGCTGGTTTAGCCACCTTCTCCTCCTGTGCCACCACCCACCAGCGCAGCCATGAACCCCCACTTCGGAGCAGCCCACGGGTGACCCGCCGAGTCTCCCGCCCGGGCACACTGCCACGGGTGAGCGGCTGGGCGAGCACAACCTCGTCGTGCCAAGAGATGTCTCTCTTGCTCTGCGCTGAGAACGGGCTGCTCTCAGGACGCTGGTGTGGCAGGATGCTGGGCTTGGCAAGCTGCTCTGGCTGCCCTGCGGGTCTCCATGCCAATTCCTGCCTGCACCTCCCACTGCCAGACCTCTCCCTAGCCCACATTTCTCTTCACTCCGGCTGCATTGAGCTTTAAGGGTAAGAAATAGTTATCGGCACTCCTCCTCCAGCACGTCCAGTGCAACTCCACCAGCAAAACGCCTAACTTCAGAGCGATGCTAGGAGGCTCACTCCTTGAGAGCATTTCAAACAGCATCCTGCCCTTAAACTCGCACAAGAAGGCACCTTCCCAGGCCATTCAGCCAATCTGCATTTAACATGAAACACCCAAACACATCCTCCTCCTCTCCCAGAAAGCAGACAGCTTCCTCATTTAACTCTTCATGTTTTTTAAAAAAGTTTCCAGTGGGAAAATACATGTATTTTCCTCAGATGCTCTGCTTGTCATGAATGCTGTTACCAGCATGGTCAGCACCATCTACCGAGCACATCAAACATCCCGCCATTTGACCAATCTTACGTATTTACTTAAAATACAAAGAAATCGGATCATAAGCTCCTATTGCTCTTCCCGTCATAGTTTTATGCATTTAGCTCTTCACTTTGCCCCTTTGATTTCAATAGAAACTTCATTTCCGTGGTCATTCAGAAGTAGAACCAAGCCATACATTTGTTCTTTCTCTGTGCAGTCAAAAAGATAATTTCACCATTTAATTTCTTTTCTTACATTTACAGGTTTCGTTCTGGCTTCAAACTAGCCTTCCGGTGGTGCCCATGCATACAAGCAACTGAGAAAGACAAACTTAAACTTACATCCCCATCTCTTTACCAGACAACCCACAGGAAGTCAAGAACGAGTTTCAACACAGAAAGTCAACTGAATGAGAAAGAGAAGACATCATTTACCCTCACCCAGCTAACGCTTTAATTTTCTCCTCCTACCCTAACACACCATTTCAAGGCAGCAGATTTGTAAAAGCCTGAGGCAGGTCTTTTTTCTGAAGCCACTATTTTGTACAGGACTTTTTCAGATGCTATCAGCATTGAAAGCAGTTTGTTGTTAATACTTATATCCACATAGGTTTAAATATCACCCAGCTATGGATGCAAGTTCAGCCCTCCCTTAACACCAACAAGAGCAATGCGGAACAGGGAGATTTTGCCTATGAGGTCAAAAAAGCAATGAAGCAGACCTCAGGCAGTGCCAATCAGTAGAGTATTCTCTTCCAGATAGGGATCTCCTGCTTTCTGTTCCACCAAGACATTTGAATCTGGAAAAGAAATGATGGAGCAGAAAGGCTGGGGCACATCTGGCCCAGTCTGGATGGACCCTCAGGGCTGTGTGGGCAGCTAAGTCCCATGGCTCAGCAGCCCCAAGGCAGACAAGGCTGTGGAGCAGAGCTTGCTTACAACAAAGGCAAATACTAATGCGTCCAGACTGAAAAGCCTGCCCTGAAATTCTTCTGAATTCTGGGATTTTCAGTCCTGCAATTTCACCAGCATCATCTCTCATCAATTAAAGCAAGAAACAGTTCCTTAAGATGTCATAATTGCATGGATTTCTATAACCTTGAACCAAAGCATGATGTCATTTTCCAGTTAAACTGTGCGCAAGTGATTTCTCCAACTTCACACAGTGAATTGTGGTGCCTAATTTGGAGAGCAAGGCTCTCTGAAGAGTCAGTAGCCAGGTGTGGGATTCTCACTGGCTTGGTCGTGGCTCACAGAACCAATCTGAATCCACCTCCTTTACCTCCTCTTAGTGCTAGCCGCAGTCTGACCCATTGCTGTGTTTTCCCAGATAGTCCCTTCATCTTCCCCTTCCAGACTTACTCCACCTTTATCATTATACTGTTCTTCTCTTCTCAGATATGAAAATAAAGGCTGAAATATGTCATCTTCAAAGCCCAAGGCATTATGTGCAGGCACGCAAAACAGGAGAACCTGAAACCTAAGCATTACATAAAGTAATACAGCATTTAATACTTGTGTGATAAGTAGTAGCACCTCGCAATCACCTTCACCTTTCATGACAGGTTTGTATACAGTATCACAGAGCCATACCTTCGCATACAAACAGCTCCCACAATGTCAGCAAGATCCTGTTATTCGAAATATTCCCCTTTGCTCTGTGAAAGCAAAACTACCAAGTGTTGTCAGGCTGAAGTTCTTCAGTAAATTCAGAGAAAAGATTCATGGCTTGAACTGAAAGAGTACTCAGGGATATGACTTTCCCAAGACTGTTTCAATACAGGAACCAGCAGATACAGCTTCCCTCTCCACTTAATCTTCTTCACCTCCCTGGCTGCTGTGGAGAACAATTGTTACACAGAGGCCCAACAAAATTGTCTCGCAAACGGTGCAACAGAGACAGGGCTGTACACCCTTCATAAAAAGTTCATTATTTTAATTCATTCCAGCAGGAAGTTTCTACTCTAGATGCTATCTGTCCAGCCCTCTTAACTGGCCAGCCTGCTCTTCCAGAGACCACAGTGCTGGGGTGCATGCAGGACAGAGGGAGAGCAGTAAGAGGCATTTACAGACAGCTAGCACCAAGTCTTTCTTCTGAAGCGATTCAAAACAGTTTGGATGGGATGTTCTGCAAGGCACACATCTCTGGGATCATACTAGACGTTGCAAAGACTCTTGCTCCACGGAATTGAAGGACACCTACACAGAGAGTTCACCATTTCATACACCTAAGCTGTACCTCTTCCATGCCCAGCCAATGCGACTGTAAGGCCTTTAAACCCTTTAAATCCTGCAGCTTTCTAATGCGGATCTTTTTAGACAAAACAGGCCTATCTTCAGCATCCCATCTTCCCCTCCATCTTCCATCACAGCTTAACAGCCAGCCAGAGCCTCTTTCAGATGCCCAGGTGTCACACACGTGCTGGTACTGTCTCCCCTGCGCAGTCCCCGACAGGCACTGACATTTTCTGACAACTCATGGCATCTGTCTCTCTTGTTCGGGTGCAGAAAGCAGAGGATGATTTCTTCAGGTTGCAAGTGAAGCTCCTCGTGCCCTGAGGGACTCACACTGCAGATCCCAAGAAGTCTCTCTGCAAAAAGCAGCAACAGTTAAGAAAGCAGAAACACTCTGAGCCCTCGTTAGGTACTGGAAGGCATGCCAAGGCAGACTACATTATTTCCTGTGATATGTGAGGTAACAGGAACACCATGCTCTGTAGTAAATACATGCAATTCTTCATGTAAGCATAGACATGATTAAATGGCACGCAGCAGTAAAACACCTCCAGGTCAGCAATAAATCCCTCTTCTGCACAGTTACTCGTGCTCTAAGCAACACTGGAGCCCCTGTAGTCAGTAAAGAAAAACAATTGAAGAATCTCATTTTTATGGCAAAGGAAAGAACAAAAAGCACAGAACGGGGTTCAGAAGTTCAGAAACACTTTATTTTGCCTTCTGCTATTTTCTTAAGAAAACAAAACAAAACAAAGTCTGCTTGTTTTAAAACCCATTCGAAAGCCTTCTGAGAGCACCCCCAGAGGAGTAAGGAGCAGATGACATTACAACAGTGGTATGCAAATGGTCTTTTCCCCAGGAAATACAAGATTTTTGTGTTCATATTGCAGTAATTACAGCTTAACAATTAAGAGGACTAAAATTTTATTCACCAAGCCTAAAAGCTTTAAAGAAAGACATCTCAGTCATTGCTTGGATAACATCGGAGACATTTCTTTGCACAGTTATAGCTTGTGATTCACTTGGAACAGTTTCCTAGGGGTAAGAAGTAGTCTGGAAACAGAAATTCCACCAGGTCTCCCACTGGAAAGGAACTGCTGTGTCTTATAGAGTACATCACCTATGGTCCACAGTAGGAAAAGTTGCGCTGTTAGAAACACAAACTCACTCCCTATTTGTTATGAGCTGGATCAAATAAACAAAACGACCTATGCCAGCATCTCCAAATTCAGACACCCTGAGATCAAGTTTAACTTCCACTTCTCATTCATCCTCTATCCTGCGCTGGGCCTAGCCCTCAGATGCTGAAGAGCTCCGAACCCAAGTCCCCGTGCACAGCTCACACCACCCCTGCAGCACTGCCAACAGCAGGCAGATTTGCAAATCTTCAAGCAATTAAAATGCACTGTCCCCCCCGTGCCCAAAAAGTTTCTCACCTTCTTCTGTCTCCTATTTGGGGTGATAGCTGCACATCAAGAGTGTGAGAGACTATTCAAGCTGTAACGTAAAATGGGTTATTGTAGAAGCAGAACTTTAACGTATGCAAAAGGGGCTTTCATATACAACTCCAACATAGGATGTGCAAACCAGCGGTGTAGGAGCACCTGACACTGTGATTCTGCAAACGTTAACCCTATGCACACAGGGAGCTGATGGACTTTGACATGCATCAGACTTCTGTGGGGACACAGCAACTGTAAACGTAGCCATCACTGCATATTTGGCAAAGCCTAATATAATCACACTGGCTTTGGTGCAGTGGGCTGAGGTTTTCCCACACTGCAGATCCCCCTGCCTGAGACAGGGCATGAGATGCACCCAGACAAGCTAAATGCCCCTAAGATTTGGGTGTTGTCAGCTCTGTGCCTCTGCTGAACTACATTAGGAAACACGAGGCATGAGGACCTGGGTGAAATCCACCCTGTTTGAATCTGACCCCGAATGCCCGGGAATAAAAACACACACACAAAACGCAGGCACCACTGGGATTAGGTTGCAGCTCTCCCTACACAATAGCTCTTCCCAAAGCACTAAGCCACCAGCCAACAGCACCTCTTCCAGAAAGAACCACTAAACACCAGTTAACGCACATCAAAAAAGTTTAATATTTTCACAAGTATCACGTAACACTAGTATCAGAGCTACTAGTGTGTAAAGTAAAAAGACTCTCTACCTTTGCAAAACCGGTTAGGCATGCAATTTTTCAGGTAGACACACACTTAAAGCTGCAATGACTCTTCGTGACTCACATGTTACAACATTCACTCACAGTGCACCATAATGCATATTGAAATGTTACCGATAGGTAGGGCAATCCAAATCTTAGGGGAATGGAACCAGGACAAAGAGGAGTAGCCTGCAAGTTTCCATCTACTTTCTGCAGGAAAAGGCAGCAGGGAAAACCATGCAGACATCTCAAATTCATTTTTGGTAGAAGCACGGGAATTAAGGACTACCGTGTGGTCTCCCTCTGCAGAAAGTGGCACGACTTGCAAATGTTATTCAACGCTTGCCTTCCTAACTGCTTCTCAGTTTAAGTGATGCAACTGGTATGCAAATATAATAATGGCATCGACTCGACAGAGGACAGGATACACCAAGTGTATATGATTTTTGTTGTTGCTTTAGTCCTTGGAATAAACTGGGTCCGATTCTGGCTTTGTAGTTTGTTCAGTTTACGAACTCGGGTCCTTAAAGGCAAGACCAAAACCAAACCCTTGTATTCCTTTCTGATCTCCAACTCCAGCTGTGTGTTTGTGTTTTGAGTGGCTGCTTAACCGTATTAAAGATTAAAGCTTTGTGTGGAAGCAAATACCCATGTTTAAGGCGAGAGAGGGAAGTATACACATCCGAGTGACACTGTCTAGTTGCAGATTCAGAAGGGCAGCTGCAGTGCCCTGATCTAGAGTAACAAGAAGAAATAGAAAATATTTTTTATAAGAAATCACTAGCAGAATAATACAGCACAGCCCGTGTACGGACCAT